TTTTTAAAATATTTTAGTTATAACTTTTTAAGTCATCGTATTATTTTTCAAAAAACATTTATTTCCTTATGTTACCTTCTGTGTTGCTGGAATGAGTTTTGAAAAAAATGCAGAGAATCAAAAATGAGTCCTTAAAAAAAGGAGAGAACGATGATGTCTCATTTCTAAGGTAAGAAGCATGACTTGCACCATTTTGGCAAAACACTCCAATACTTTCTTAAACATATTCTCATGATAAACAAAAGTAGTGTACTGTTCATGGATCCTAATTTTGACTTCTGACCATGAGATTTTTGATAACGGTTTTACTTCCCTTTACTTTCACTATTCCACTTGTTAAATACAACTAAGTTAGTATTTGTCTTCACCGTAAATTGTAAGGAGTAATTTGTAAGTGTGATGTGATAAACCTTTACTAGCGTACTTTATCAATTAAATGTGTTTCTTTATTTTAGAATTGCTTATCTTTTAGTTCCTTTAAAGTGTACCTCATTCTGAGGTGGTGCAGTAGATGGTGAATGCCATCAGGAATCCTACTTCCAGTTTAAGATAGCCTCAAAGATGAGTTCTTTTCTCTCAGTGGTCCTAGGCAGGATGAGGTTCCTTTTAGTTTAGATCACATTCCAAGTCCAAACTCTTACAGTAGCAAATCCTTGGTGGCAACCAGTTCACTGAAAAACCAATCAAAATTTAAACAATACAGCATTCTGCATTAAAACAAACTCTGATCTTTGCCCCTAAAGCTACTCTACTTTATCCTTACACCTGAAATTTATCACTGTAGCACTACTGTTTAATCCGTATTGTTAACATACATCTATTTCTTTATAGGAGGAAACATTCACATTTAGATACAGCTAATAAACCTCAAATCCAGATAATGGTTACTACTAGTGCTCCTTGGCCACTGGCTGTTAATGCAGTGGTGTGATAAATCAGATTTATCTCCACACATAGAAGGTCAGAAATGATAATTCTTCATTTTTTTCCTATCAGCTTTTATTGTTTTTTAGTCTCCAGCACAAACTGAATGAACACCTGTATAGTTAGAGTACATGCTGCTTAGAACTTGGAAGCTAACCTATTTGCTACATTAAAAACAGCTATTTTTACCATAAAATAGGTATTGTTGCTACCACAGAAGCTAAAAGGTCTTATTAACACTGGGGATAGAATCTTGGGCCTTGCACATACTAAGTATGTACTCTACATTGAGCTATCTCCCCAGCCCTTTATTTTAGAAGTTGGAAATAGTAGTCTTTATTACCCTTCAGCCAACAGCAACCCACAGTAGCAATATATATAAATATTAGAAGCCACACCTAAAATTTGGCTTTCCTCATATCAGAATGATCTGAGAATTTGGAGGAAGCCTAACTAACTTGAGGGGGAAAAGCATAGCATTAAAAATTCACCTGCTTGAATCAGCCTACTGAAGACAGGCAGGTCTACAGACACTCTACCCAGGTCCTGAGTCTTGTGGAACACGCCAAATCAGCCCGCTGCAGACAAGCAGGTCTGCGGACACCCTAGTGAGGTCCCGAGTCCCAAAGAACATGCTGAATCAACCCGTGCCCCGGCAACAATCCACTGGCCCCCCACCCCCACTCCTCTGTACAGCCACCTGGTTCCACACTACAAAGACGCAGAGGACACCAGACCACGGTACCGAGTCCCACTGCTCCTGGCCCAGAAGAAGGGGCTTCCCGGTCACCATCCCTCCTGCTGCTCCTAGCCCAGAGGAAAGGGCTTTTGGGCCACCATCCCTCCCACCACTCCCATCTCAGGGGTAGGGGCTTCTGAGCCGCCCTCCCACTGCTCCTGGACCAGAGGAAGGGGCTTCCCGGCCACCATCCCTCCTGCTGCTCCCAGCCCCCAGGAAAGGGCTTTTGGGCCACCATGCCTACCGCTGCTCCCGGACCCTGTCCCACCTCTCCCAGATCAGAGGAGGTAACCCCTGCAGGCGACAACAGCCCCCCGCCCCAGTCAAAATGAGAAAACACGTAAATAAGTCTCAAAACCA